TAAGTTAATATGTAGATCGAAAAACATCAAAGCTGCAAAGTTCATAGTAATTTTATATGTTTTTTATTATAATTTCACATATAAAAAAATTACATGTGACATATCGTGTGACTGATAATGATCTCAAAGCTTGTTGCAATAATTTAAATGCAAATATAATAAATATTATTTGCTATTTAAATAAATCGATTTAGTTGGAGAACTTCTGTTGATATTAATAGGTTCTGGACATTGATATTATCAATAATAGATTCGCAAGCAAGGATTACACAATATGGAGGGCCAGGAGGTTGGAATGATCCTGATATGCTTGCAGTAGGTTTTTATGTAATACCTCCCATTGAACAAATAACACATTATGCATTTTGGGCTGCTCTGAAGGCCCCTTTAATACTTGGATGTGATGTGGGTTTTATTTTATCAATTTTTTGATTTATAAAAATGATAGCAATTATTCTAAATTATTTCTATATTATATTATAGCTTAATGACGTCAATGATGCAGCAAAAGCATTAATATTAAATAAAGATATAATTTCTGTAAATGTAAGTCTATCCCTTATTATTAAGATTATTTTTTGGTTCTCATTAAATATCTTAAAAAAATTTGTGTGTTATGTAATAGCAAGATCCTCTTGGACAATCTATATGTCAGGTTTACTATAAAACTTATAAAGAAACTTCTTTTGAAATTTGGACCGGACCTCTTATTTATGGATATGTTGCAAGTTTGTATCAAAAACTTTCATGATTTATTAACTAAATTATTAAACCTTAAATTTAATTAATTTAGTTTTATTTAATCGTGGAATAGATCCAATAAATATTACATTGGATTTTCAAAAACATTGCTATCTTACAGGTGAAATTAAGGTTAGGGATCTTGTAAACCAACAATCTAAAGGAAACTTTACAAATACGTATGTTAACATATTAAAATAACAATACTTATTTTTTTTATTAATGATTACGTTAACTAAATAAACAATTCACCTTTTCAAATAATCATTACAGTTATACTGCAGTAAATATTCCAGAACATGGAGTAGAATTTATAAAACATACTGCTAGACCATGTCTTGATTATTCTTTGCGGAAACATTAAAAAATTAATAATACAATTAGTATATAATTTCTAAATAACTTCATCAAATTTTAAGCTTGTTTTCTTATTATTTATTATAAGAACATAAATAACTATTTAATAATAGATATCTCGTTACTTACTAAAATAAATAAGATATTAAATTAAAATAAGTGAATGGAAATAACCTGCACTCAAAAATAAATCAAGATTAATAAGAAAAGTAATATACTTGGATCGAAACAGTAAAAAGTTTAATACTTATCTCAAATATTTCAATAGGCTAATTCAACGTTTTCATCGTGACAATGAACTCACTTGAACGGTTTTACTAATTAAAAATTGGATTCCGATCTATTAACATAGATGCTTAAGAGCATCCTAAATCAACGGACGTCTGGACCTCTATCTCTTGTTAATTGGAATGATAAATACCTTTGGTCGGTCAAACGAACTTCCACTAATAATTTTTTTTTTTCTTACGTATTAAACTTTCGTTACGTGTTTTATTCATTGGAATAATCAATATAATTGATTCGTTAAACTATTTTTTTACTAATAAAAATTTATCCTCAGACCCGTTCCGACGGGTTGATTGAGGTTCTTGAGAACACCCTAAATAGTATACAAAAAATATGTGCTGATAATGAAAATCCATAATAAAAAGTATGAAAACGTTTGAGCAATACTTTATTCACTTTAATAGTTATAAAGTTTTATAAGTCAGGCAAAAAAAGTGGTTCAGGCTAAAAAGTGGTTTGACTAAATTATACCCTGGTCACTATATCAAGATCGCAGAGCATTAATCAGTTAGACCCTGGGCACTATGTGTATAAGCGGGAATTTATTCCGCTTATACCCAACTGCCCAGGATATAACTATTACATGATAACTCACTGATTATTTTACTGTTTAAAGATATTCTTTCGCGTAAATAAACTATCTTATCTTAATGACAAGCTCGAAGGTTTACTAATATCTCCCACACTTCCCATTGGATGAATACAAATAACCTTTTCCATTGGATAAAATCAATAACATCACTAATTAGGGTGGGTAAAAATTTCGCGATGATTATATTGATTAACCTTTTTTTTTTAAATAATTCTTTTCGATGCTTAATATTAACGTTTTGCTCTTTTGATTTATTTTTTAAAATAGTCCTTTTCGTTGTTTAATACTAACGTTTTGCTCTTTTGGATTTTAGCACTTCAGATTTTTTTAGTAAATAGTTTCGTGTACACGGTTAAATAAATTTTCGCTGTCTTAAAATTTGCTTAATCATACTACTATACGAAAATCCGAAAACAAGATAATAAATTTTTTTGTTTTTGTATGAAAGTTTTACTAATTAATAGACGGTTTAATTTATTGCTAATTTAACCACCAAGCCAAATTCGATAAACCTTTTTTATTTTGATTCTACAAATATGTAAGATAAAACAAAAAACTTTTCATAGAATTTGGTTTGGTGATTGGTGAAATATCTTCGATTAAAGTTTGTCAATAAATTAAACAATCTATCTGTAGTATAAATTTTTTTAAAATTTAAATGAAGTTATCTCAACAACCAAACCAAATCAAATGAATTTTTTTATTTATATCCTACATATTTGTAGAATCAAAATAAAAAAAGATTCATGGGATTTGATTTGTTAGTTCGTCGTTTAAAATTAGTCAATAAATTAAACTATTGTAAAATTTTTTTAAAATTTGAGCGAAGATATCAAGGCAACCACCAAATCAAATTCAATGAGAATTTTTTTTTTTTTATCCTACATATTTGTAGAATCAAAATAAAAACGATTTATCGAGTTTGATTCGGTGGTTGTCGAGAAATCGTAGTCAATAAATTAAACCGTCTATTAAATTTTAAGCCGTAGTAGATTTTTTTAAAAATTTAAATGAAAATATTATGCTGAAATTTTGCCCCTAGTTAAATTTATAATATCTACTATATTTTATATTGCTCTTTTATTAATAATACTGGCTCTGATTCTATCCTAATCTTAAAAAAACATATTAAAATGGATCAAGAATTCAGCATAATCTGTAACTTATTTATGAATATTTTCTTAATTAATATTATGTATTTATAATTTGTAGTTTAAAGCTTTCATGCAATCAAAGGATATTAACGTTAAAGCATTTGGACTAACTCAAAATACAACCACCAATGAATATATGATAGTATTTGATGAAATTGGTTCTAAAAGAATGGACAGGTATGGAAAATGTGCAAATTGCGGCCGATATAACACATCGTCAGCTTGGTGTCAAACATGTGACCCTCGGAAAACAACACAAGGATGGACAAGTGGAAACAAGGATATCGATGATTGTATTAAAGAATTTCAACTTAAAGCCACAGAATATGAGAATGTAATCGAATGGATTCCTTTTAA